TACATATAATGTATTGCCTACAGATTTATATAATGTAGTGATACAATTTGTAAAAAAAAAAGAATGGGAAAGATCAATAAACATTTTTGATTCAGCCCCTTTTTGGCGGGTCGGTCAGGTGAGGGCAAACAATACTTTAAATGTTTTATTATGGCCTCAGCATTAGCCATGCTAAATATTTTAGAGAGTTCTTTGATGACACGATGACTTGGAAAATAAACGTTGGCTACACCATCATGCAATTATGCCAAGACCAGGGTCTCTTGCCTGACCAACTTTAGTAGCTCTGACACCTCACGGTGGTCGAGTAGCAACGCTACATGACCTTTTCATGACCTATCATCGAATATGCCTGCAATCTCTGAGATACATCAACCAAGGCTATTAAAATAATACTTGCACATACATCCCCCCGAGCCACCATAGATGCCCAACACTAGTTCTTCCAGCTGTACTCAAGAGTGAAAGCGTACTGCCAGAGCTTCATTCCCAATCCTAATCAGACTCACATCAATCATTAAAAAAAAAAAAAGTTTGAACACTTCCAGAAGAGCCTGACATGGAGAAAACCAGGTATTCCTGTTAGGTGACAACTCATGCCGACTCCTCTACCTAGCTCAATACACTGACTGATTCTTCATGGCATACATCACTCCCACAACAGTACTCCTTAATACTTGTTCTTCCAGATATAGTAGTCTGGTACTACACTTGCGTGAAGACCAGAGAGCACTTTACCTAGTGTACAGTGGGAAGCAGTGACTATGTCCTCGTGCAGTAGAGTTTCTCGAGTCAAAAGTAGGAAATTAATAACAAAAGGAACTAGACAGAGGGCACTCAAAAAGAGTGCATACCTCCGCGAGCGTGTAACATGTATACATGTGTATAACAGCTGGCTCGCTGCTGGCTGCTGCTGGCTGCTGGACGCCTTAAGGCGAGCTGCTGCTGACTGGACGGCCTAAGGCGAGCTGGTGCTGAATCGATCGCGCCAACGCGTGTAACATGTATACATGTGTATAACAGCTGGCTCGCCGCTGGCTACACACACACACGAACACACACACGAACGCATCACACGAGAGGGATCACATTACCTCCCTGCAACTCCGTTGTGCGGAGGTAACAACAATTAAGTGATAGTACCGATACTGACAATGAGATGACAGCAGGTGCACATATGGGAAAATGAGTACATGTGATTGTGGTTCACTGGTTGGCCGGTGGCTAACTTGCCTATCATTCATGGCGAAGGGTGTGAATTCAAATCCCAGCCAGGGCAAGGAATTTTCTGAAGTCCACGCGTGAAAAGCTTGTTCTCTACATCATGGACTATCAATGCCTTATGATTCAGCTGATCGCCCATACTGGCAGAACAACTTTAGGCCCTAATGCGTAATGGTAATGCGAATGTAAAAGAATCACTGGACTCAGTGTGACACTTAGAATCTTTAATATTAATTATAATATTATGAATTTTGCCCATCAAAGAAGATGACATCATACCTCAACGTATCTAGACGTAACCTAACCTAGAACGTAAACGGTTGAAGCGAGCGAGGTTCAAGGAAAAAAGCCGCAACTTTCACAAATATCATTATCAACACTCAACAATATCAAATGGTCAGTTAATGAGTTATCACTATCAAATCGCATAATGAGTGAGAACTCTTCTATGACAAACCAGTTCTGGCAGTGACTCTTACCTTGGTATAAAGCTCAGCGGTTGACATTCCTCTTGTGCAAATAAACTATAAATAAGTTAAGGTACCGCTCACTAACACAAATAACGTCCAGACACGAAGGCTCTCCGCCGATATGCTATGAGGCCGCCATGTTTGTTGTTAGGATGTAAGCTAGGTTCCTATTGGCTGACTTGGTCGACAATTAACAGATTGAGAAATAATTTCCGATTCGCGGCATTTGCTAAGTTAAAGTTTTACATAAATTAACCATAGTCATACCAGAGCATATAAATCAACCATTAATTTATATGCTCTGGTCATACTATAATATTATATTTCTATGAGCACATGTATTCGATACCTTAAGCACATATACCGATGAAAATAAATTTTACTTGAACTTGAAATTGTATTCCCGCGGACTTCGTAACGATTAATTCGTACAGATAGTTAGGCCTATAGCTGTGCCTTTCAAAAATTCCATATATGATTCCTTTGACATTACACGTCACCATAGATATATTATATATATAGAGTATATATATATATATTATATGTACATATATATATATATATATATTCTTCTTTGCTCAGATTTGTGTTTGTGCAGTTGGCTTTGATTGAATTTTATGGTTCGGAACTCTTATTGACAGAAGAAAAGAAATGGAAATGCTTTGTGAATAACTTTGATATATTCGAACTTATAGACGGCCATTTTGGCAGAAACCTCGGTTTTTATTTCAAATCCGATTTCAACACTATTTTAAGTAACTGTTCTCTATCAGGGGAGGAGCAAACACAATTATTTTCATGGTAAAATTCCTTTTATTTAATAGAGCTGCTATTTTGGCAGCTACCTTTGTTTTTATTTGAAATCAAATTTCAATATGGTTTTTAGTTCTTCATCAGAGGAAAGCAAAAACATTTTTTTATAACGAACAAAATGTTAAATGTGATCTTTAACGCTATTGTATTCTAAACGATGTAAATCTTTTGTAATTTACATAAATTGCATGTTTATTCAGTGCAGTTTCAACACATCTACCGTTGTTTCCCGTAGATCTTTATTTCGATTTCCATTCAATATGCCTCTACTTTTTCAAAAAATAATTTAACTTTAACTTTTATATGAGGAACTTGAAACAGTTTATGCACGGATAAATGCAACATTGCATGCGTACTGGTAACAACACAAATCAAACTAATTCCAAATATTCCGTCAGTGCTTGAATGAGGACATAGGCGTAGCTAAGGGGGGGGGGGGCACAAGGAGGCCATGACCCCCTCATTGATCGAGAGTACAAAACAATTAAGAGAGAAGGGCCCTTAATGGGATTGGTCTATAACCACTATTACCTATACCTAATAATGAAAATGAAATCGGCGCAAAATGCCATTTTGATGCAACATGTATTTTCAAAAATTATCCTACTGTGGGAGGGGAAACACCCTCCCCCGTTGAGAAATTGCTTCATCGCTGTCTTTGGTCGCTTAACTCTTTTCTTCCCTCCCTGAAAAACACTGGCTTCGTACACCATTTTCACTGGTCTAGCTTAAGGTGTCACAACTGGTCGTGTGTAACCTCAGAGCCTTCCGCGCGCCACAGCCAGGGGCCATCGCCCACGTTGATCGGATCGGAGTGGAAAAAATAAAAAGCGATCGGGAGGGGGTTATAAGGGATTAGCATATGCCACTTCTCATATAAGTTACCCCTAATACTGAATTTTAGTGTGCAGAAAATGCCATTTTCATGCACGAATTTTCAAAAATCTCCCTACCGCTGGAGGGGGGATACCCCTCCCACACCTACCCCTCGGTCGCTTCGCTCCCTCGCCTTGCCCCCCCCCCCTGTTCCAATTGCTGCCTACGCCACTGTAATATATATCTATATATTATATATATATATATATATATATATATA